GGCGCTGGGACCCCCGGGGTGGGCGCGGGCCAGCGAGGCGCGGGGAGGCGCGAGGCGAGAGGACAGCTCGAGAGCGAGCGAGCTGACCGGCGGGGGGAGAGGCGGGGGAGAGGCGGCGAGGGGGAGAGGAGGAGGAGAGGGAGGGCGCGCCGAGGAGGGGGAGCCGAGCCGCAGGGCCTCGGGGCACCGCACCGAGGAGGCCCCTGCGCAGGCTGCGCCAAGCACTGCGCCCTTCCTCATCCGTGACCTCCCTAGAGCTTCGTCCCCAGGGTCTAGAGAGCAGGCATCATTAATCCAAGTTAGCAGATGGGGAAACTGAGGCCTGAGGCAGAGGCCAAGCTGGGGGTGGCCCAGGGCACTCTACAGACCAGCCTCCTCCCTGGTGTGAGGAGAGGGGACTGGAGCAGGACACAGAGGCTGGACTAGCCTCTGGGCTGCAAGGACAGTGGAAGGTGAGATTGGGGCTGGGACAGATGTCCAGGCTGAGTGGCATTGGGGGAGGGGGCTGAGGAAAGAGAAGGATAAATGGGTCAATGTTGCCAGTAAGGAAAGGGCTTAAAGTGGCCTAATTTTGCTTCCTCATCTCCAGATCTGAAAATGCCTATAGTTGGTTAGGAAGGAAGGAGGAAGCCAAAGCCCCCAGACATGAGAGGGTCAGCCTGGGCCCCCTGGGGAGGGGGTGAGGAAGGAGGGGAGTCCTCGAGGCAGAATGGAGTTTGGGCTAGACAGGCTGCTTCTGCAGTGCCTGTAAGAAGGGAGAGGGTTGAGAAGGGCAATGGGAGGGCTGGAAGGGCCTGTTTGCAGAGGGACACCGACACGGGGCAGCAGGATCCAGCAGGACATCAGGGCTGGGAACTGCTGTCTTCCCGCCTCAGTACTCACCAGAGGCCCTTCCCATGGCCTCCACTCTGGGCTTTGACCCACCGAAGGGAGCTCGGACTCCTTTCTTCAGGGCTGCTGTTCTCATGACAGCTGTGGAGGTGGCAACCTGCCTCGCATTCAGGAGATGAGTGGATGGCTTTTGAAGAGCCCCACTCTCAGCTGCCAGGACTGGTGCCCTCCGCCTGCCCCTGGTTGACTCTGGAGGCCTGGCCTCTTGTCCTGCTTCTGCCACAGACCCTCCGTGTGGTCCCTGAGAAGCCTCGTGCCCTGTGAATCCCCTTGCTCTCTGGAGCTTTCCTTTTGGAACTCTCAAAATTTACGTGACCCTGGTTAATCTTTTTTTTTTTTTTTTTTTTGGTGAGGAAGATCAGCCCTGAGCTAACATCTGCCAATCCTCCTTTTTTTTGCTGAGGAAGACTGGCCCTGGGCTAACATCTGTGCCCATCTTCCTCCACTTTATATGGGACGCCGCCAGAGCATGGCTTGACAAGCGGTGTGTCGGTGTGCGCCCGGGATCTGAACCCCGGGCCGCCGCAGCGGAGCGCGCTCACTTAACCGCTTGTGCCACTGGGCCGGCCCAACCCCTAGTTAATCTAATACGAGTTAGTCTTCCTGAAGGTGTGCATAATGACGATGGGCTCATTAAGTTTTCTTCAGGGTGTCAGGTGAATGAAGACACGAATGAATGAATATGTGCCTTAATGGAAAGGAATGAATGGAGGCATTGCAGGCTGGGCACGGGGTGTTTGCAGGCATAGGGTGGAGTGCCTGTCTAGCCCTGTCAGATCACGACAGTCTCCTTCACCAGCCTGAAAAGGCCTATGGGGAGGACATGGGGCAGGGTGAGGGTGGGATGAGACACACACGGATGTAGCAGGAAGGCTGGGGAAGGCAGGAAGCTGACCTGTGGCAGCCACAACCCTTCTTAGGGCAGTGGTCCTATTCTGGACCAGGAGGGCAGGGCTGCCATCTTGACGGTGCCTTCTGAAGGTGCGATTCCCATGGTGGGAGCGCAGGG